CCTCAGCAGATAAACCAAAAAAAATACCTGAAATTGAAAAATATGAAAACAAGACAAAAAATATTTTTTACTTGCTTAGGATGCCTTCTTCTGTTGTCTTGCTCTTCTGAAACTCAAGGAATATATTGCAATGCAGATAGGCCAACAATTCTAGCATGTTTGAATAATAGACTGTTGTCAMCTAATAAGAATAATTGAAACAATATTTTGCAAGTCTCCTTAGACTCAGTCTTGGTTTCTTTTTTCTCTTAATACTAAGGAATACTTCCAAAGAAGACCTATGCACAAATTCGCAACAGGKTTCCCAAACCTAAGGATTTAGAAACAACATTATTTGCATGATTTAAGCATGGCTAATCAAACTTTAGGCTGACTCATTTACATGAGCTCTTTATTGCTGGAAAACTGTATTTACAGGTTTTGGCCAATTTCTCAAATGTATTACCAATCATTGTGTTAGGGGGAAAAAAATAATACACATGAAGACATGTATTCAGGTAGTACAAATGCTGTAAGTTACAGCAAATCCATCATACCAGAAATTATACGGTTGCATATTGTGGATGGGCAGAACTGCATCTTATTTACCTACTGCTAGAGTTTAAATCATCATGATTCATTTCTCTACTGGCTTCATACAAGCTCCACAAGACTGGAGAAATAATACTTTAGTGTAAAAGTGCAGTTTCAAACCAGTTTAGGAAGTCTGAAGAAAAAAAATGCTTCCCTCTTAATCAGTTACCTCCTGCAATGTTGACAAGGTAGGGAGAACACTGCTTTGTACTGGAAGCAAAACGCCAGGGACAACCTCACCCTGAATTCAATTCTCCATAAGAAGCARACTTTTACTGTGTCTTTAATCAGTTCTGCCTCAGCCTGGAAATCTGGGGTCTGGGTAAATATATGAACAGAAAACACTGTAAACACAGCACAAATTTGACACTGCAATTCATTCGCATGCCAACTGCTCCACTGATGTGCTGAACAACTCTCAGACAAAATGTTTTGATGTGTTTCTTTATATTCTCAAGAATGTCCTGTTCCAAGAGCTTACATGTCTCTGGAGCAGATTAGTTATGGACTTTTCATGCTGATGAGGTAATCCCCTTAATGTACTATACACCATAGGATATCCTCCTCCTCTGTTTCATGTTCTGACATTGCTAAAGGTCAGRAAAGTGTTTCATGTGGTGATAGACTCCATTTAGAAGGAAACTACAAGAACAGAGAAAAATGCCTTCTTGGAGTTCACAAGGATAATACAAGAAGCCTAGGTAAAAAAAGGATTGYCAATGAATCTTGTACTGAAACTACAGTCATCGCTTTGCTCAAAACACTATATTAACCTCTAAAGATGCATTTTCAATATCGCGATTGGTAACGTGGTGGTACTGATATAGGAAGATGAGATCCATACTGTAACTGCTAAGTTTACTCATAGAAAATGTAGACTTCACATCAAACAGTAACAACATAAAAATAATTTATGTTGAATGCAAAAATTACGGCTCTAAACACATGACTTTTATTATAAGTAGACTTCCTCTGTAAGACAAGCATGTAAAAATTAAATTAACTCAGAAATAAAGATATTTTGTTACACAAATTATGTCTCAAACATGGTCCACATTTATTTTCAAGAGGGATGCAGACAGGAGTTAAACTTACTAAACTTTAAAAAATAATACAAACAAGCTTTTTAACAGACCTTGTCATTTTACATGGAATTTTAAAAAGAAAACATCAAAAAGCTGATAYTTCAGAAGTGTTTCTTTACAATTAGAAGAATTTTGCTCATTTGTGCCATAGCTTTATGTTGTTATTTTTTTTAACAAAAACATTAGTATAATTTATAAAGTCCCCATTTTGGTACAGCTTTAAACATCCAGCTTCTAATTTTCAGAAGTTTTCTCAAAAGAGTATATATTCCTCAGAGAAAAATACAAAGAAAATTAAACAAACTGTTTTAAATCAGTAATTAACACACTATATAATCAATTGTTTACATTAGCATTGGTTATGATGCTTTCTTCTTTATTGCTAATAAGGAGGGGTGAACATTTACACAAGTTTTAAGCAAAAGCAACAGCATTTCTAACAAAGCTTCATCTTAGGAATTGTCTCCCCAAAGGATCATGTAAGTTTGGTGAGGAAGACAGAGCATTTTCTTCACCTCACTTTTCTCAGTTYAATGCCTGATATTTGTTGGCATTATTGTCTATGTTTCCCGTAGAAATGCTTTGCAGTACCACAACCATCCTCTCCTCTCCTGCATTGAACTTAGAGGTTGGAAAAAGGGGAACAGAAAATACTGAGAAGAAACTCTGCTTAGTYTTAAAAATTAAGAATATTAGGAATGTTATGGAAACTGGAAGACTCCTCTGGGAGGTGAGTCATAATTGAATTTTCATGCTTGAATAAAGAAATATGATATCAAATATTTAGCAAAAAATCCTTTAATCTAGCAGCCCATGTAGTTAGCAAAAAAAAAAAAACAAAAAAAAAAAAAAAAAACAAAAACCCCAAACAAAATAAAAACAAAATCAAATGGACAAAAATGTAAAATAATCTATGAAAAATCTCCTCTATTCTCAAAGAGAGAGTAGCCTAATATTTTATATTGATGGGTTCTTCAGAGAATAAAAGAGCCACAAGTTGTCTAAGTTCCATCTGGGTCTTGTATATTAGAAAATACCTAGAATTTCTGAACTGAAAAAATAAGCCTTATAAAGAGATCTAAAAATTATATACATAAAATTCAGAATGTAAAGAGGAAGACTTCACACATCAGAACAAATGTTTCAAACTACAGGTAGTAAACACAAAATAATACCTTCTTGGTAATTTCTAAGACAATCAGTTTACAGATACATGGCCTCTTGCTTCACAAGGAACTTCAGGGGGAAAAAAAGAGAGCCATTATAGGAGTCTTCCTTAGAAGAAAGGAGTATGCAACTTATCCCACCCTCTTTTGAGTGAAAGTGGGCAAGAAGAAWAAAGCACATTAGCAGAAACATCCAAGGCACAATTCAGTTCAATACACGAGCGTTTGTTTTGGAGAAGTTTGGTGCAATTAAGCATCCATTCTACCCAAGTAAAGATGATTTGCAAAGGTGTTTTCTTTTTATTTCCAGGAAAACCTTGCAAAAGATGCTAGGTTCATGAAAATAACATGCCAAAGTAAAACTGCTGTGCTTGCACTTGTCCTGTGTTTTTAATATCACATATTCTTCCARCTCTTGGCCATAGCTGCACTGACAGCTCGATGTTTAGCAAATACAAAAAGTTCAACAGAAGGAAAGTCTATGAACATTTCTTCATGTTCACAGGTACAAAATTACAGTACAATTAACAGCTTCTCAAGTCAGTAAATTACACCCTATTTTGTTGAGACTTAACTTCCAAAGCTTCAGTCAACAAGTACCACTAAGCCACAGATCTATTTTCACAGTCTCACAATGTTTCCGTTCATGCTACACATACACAGAAATATCTGTGTGGGACATTGTGGGTGACAGAGCACTGCAACAGATTGCCCAGAGAGGTTGTAGTTTCCCCTCACTGGAGACACTTGAGAGCCATCACGACAAACTCCTGTGCCATGTGCTAGAATGATCCTGCTTCAGCAGGGATGCTGAACCAGATCCAATGTGGTCCCTTCCAAGCTTACTCATAATGATTCATTCTGTGAATACTAATGTGGGGATCAAAAAAGGATTGAAAGTTAATCCACCATTTTGGCACTACTGGATTTTTAAAATGTTGTCACTGTCCTAAGATCATCCTTCACTATGGCTCTCCAGTCTCATGCAGAAGTGAAAAGGGTAACAACAAGGAAAACAAAAGATAAAGGAACATAAAATTTTGTCTACTTCTGATCTGAATTTTCAAGGTTTATTCTATATAAATTTGTAGGGAAAACTTCCACAACAGGCTACAGTAAAGTATTATCATAATTAGTTATCATATAGAATTCTGATGGCAATTTAGTAAAATATCCCATATCTTCATCAGAAGAAGTTTTAGAAGTTTTAGAAGAATATTATTACTTAGGCTATAAAAGCTACAGCCCTCCAAGGGGCAAAACCCAACCGCTTAACTCTTGAAAATGTGGGAACCCACAGTTAAACTTCAACATGAAACAAAAATTGTGAAGCTAMAGAAACAGATAAAATTATCTGGCCRACCYTAACTKTATCACATGCTTATGCTYACCTTTTCTTGAMTGCTSCGKTTTTTTTGGGAGTTTTTGTTTTYAAATGATGTWTTTTTGCCTCATTTTTAATTSTAACCAGTCTTCAGGAATCACTTATATTTAAACAGTTGACCAATTTTGGAAGTTGCACTGTACACACATCATTTTCTCTGAAGAGTGAAAATGAACTAAAGAATAAAGAATCAAATATTTAAATGTAACCCRCTATCACCTCAGTAACTTTAGCTTTTACTACGTGAACAGTCTCAACAGCTATGGCTAGAGGCTTGCTTGTACTAATATTTCAGATATKCAACAGAATTTTAAAAACCAGCATAGCTGTTATTTAAATGTTTTCCTCTCTCTGGTTTATTTATAAAATTCAGAGCAATTCATTAAAACTTACTTGCTATATAATATAATCTGTATACTTACCTACTGAAGTTAAACAGATGAAAACAATTCACATTAGACTCTCAATTCAAAGAGGTCAGCACCAATACAATTACACCAACTTGAACTCAATATAAGAGATGAGAAACTCCAGCCAATCCAACTCTATTCCTTACTGCATTTATTTGGAAGTATTCACTCTTTATAAATTTTRATTCAGGATCTGTCCAATTGCCAACATATCTTTTTGTTTTCTACATRCTTAGGAAAGAAAACAGGAGTCTTTCTGTAGAGCCTGACCCAGTGCCAGAAGGCTGAGCAAACCATTGATGGAGAAAGTGTTCTTGTTTTTATTTAACTGCTGCAGTCACATTATTATCCAGTAGTAAGATTGTGTCTATGCTTGTTTTTTGTTTTTTTTTTTTTTAAACAGAAGTTACTTTAGGGCTGTTTAGGTGTTTTTGTACCCTCCACCACGTTCTTCATGCCCTGAAATCATTCCCCCACGAAAGTGACCTTCTCAGTAAGAAACTTGATCTTACAGKTATCAAATGACCTGAAAAGATCTTTCAGCAGTTTGGTCAGGAWAACATTAACAACCCAGCCCACAGAAGAATATTATGTATCAAAGCCCATGTAAATTTGATGGATGTGGACTGTAAAGAAACTGACAAACCCCCAATATCGTTCACCAAATAGTAAATGAATGATTTTCAACTGATTATGTCTGCAGAACCATGAACTGTCAGATGGGAAGACTCTTCAATTTCCTCAAAAAGCTGCAATTCTGTATTTAGCACAACAAAAATGCCATMAGCATCTTCTCAGCCTTGAACTGAACTACTCAAACACAAAAGAAATTTGTTCCACTATGTTCTTTTACCATATCCAAGTAAGCTATCAAAGCAGCTACATTACCATTTTAAAGTGCCATTAAAACATATCAAGGAATCTAAATGCCAATACAAATACATTGCATATGATAATATACGTATTGAACTGAAAAACAACAACACATATCACTTTGAAACATTCTAATGAACTTGAATTTGACAAGTATTTCACAGCTCTGGAAAAAGGAATTGTGATTTAATGTAATCAGCATTTTTATTTGAAATACAAGTCACACGTAAGTACATAATCGTAAGACACCTCAGCACTCTGCATTTAGGAGTTACATGCCCTATCATTGGCTGCTCTAAGCTGATAAAGACTAACGGAATGCCGAGTCAGCAAGTCAGACAATACAAGCTGCATGTTTCATAGTTAAGGCTGCTAAATAAGCAAAGTCTTGTGTGAGAATTTCCTTCATAAAACTGCACATAGAACATACTAATTTTTAAAAATGAGGCTATGTTGTACAAATGGTCATAAACCTCTAATTAAGAAAATTACATGATACTGAAACATTAAGCTTTGAATTAAATAAAATCTTCATGATCCTTAAAATTTTTGCATCTGTTTCACCCTCTCAGCATGGATCAGGAGAACATGATTTTTTATGTGAATGGGATTTCTTTTCTTTAACATTAATTGCCCTACATATGTTAGCAGTGTCGGCTTGGTAGTCTTCAAAAAATATCTGAAAGTGTCACAATCTACAGCATATTTATTAGTAGGAAGAAACAGAATACTTTTTCTAATGGAAAGTTACCACAGGGAAAAAAGAGAGTTTTTGCTCTATCCCCACCTTATGGCTAGAACAAGAATTTTTCTATTACAGTATACATATTTCTATATTTATTATTCTTTTACTGTATGACTACAATCAGAAAACACTATTCGTACCATGAAACTTAAGATTATTTTTTGGCAGTCACTCACTTCTCCACATAAAAGCACAATGAAACTCCAAGTCATGAATGTCCTCTCAAGCACCTAGGTTGRTTTTCTGACTCAAAGCAACAGATGCAACTTTACATTCAAATAGAACAGTGAATATTTGGGGCCTGACCCATCAAAGTTCATTATTCCTGTTGACACCATTAGGAGTTAGGTCCATTGATCATATTTCACTGTCATACCCTTCTTAATATTCACACTTTTTAAGAAGTTGTAAATCTAATAAATCAGGTGATTTATACCATTCAGAAAATATTAAACTTCCATGCTCTACAAAATAAAAGCACAGTAYACACAAATGTAGTTTTAGAGCTTTCACAACTCTCCTCTCTGCTCACTTATCTTGCAAGAAAAATGCTGTATGAGCTGGAATAGGGCATACTCCCCASCAGAAGACTTACTCAGGTAGGCAAACAGCAGATCCCCTCTCACCAGTCACTCCATAAGTGAGATGAAACAAAAAAAGCAGCAGCACCACTCTCTTCCCTCATAGTCATCAGCTGGTTAATAAACATTTTCCGTCCTCTTTTGTGGCTTAATCAATTATGATACCATCCTGGCCCAGGGACTAACACTAACTACGTCAAAAGCAGAAAACCAAGACAAAGGCTACTAGAAGTACTTTTACCAAATTCTATTTCTTCATTACATTACCCCCTTTCATTGATGGTCATAGTGAAAGGGTGGGGTAGGATGTGAAACAGAATATAGAGAAACCTGCGAAGCAAAGAGAATGGAAAAAAATGGATCTTAGCGTGCCTTTAACTTTTTTGCACTTCTATCCTGCTTTCTGAGGAAATGAGGAGTTTAATTGCACTGTCAGAGAACCTCTCCTTCCAAAAAATCTCTTAAATCTTATGTTTAAAACCAGAGGAAATTCAATATTGAATCAATTGTTTCAGAACTATAAATTTCTCAATTTCATGAAAATAACTGAGCATTACCATGGCTGTTCCCACAATAATCCTCGCTTTTTTCCTCCTAACGACAAAGAATCAACACAGGAATTCAAATAAAAGAAAACAACTTCATTTGGCCTTCTAGTACAGATCYAGTTTAAAAAACCATTTTGTAGAACTACATGCTTTGTTGCTTTGTCATTAAACAGAGACATAACAGAAATAAATTACCACTATAGTCTCTGAGTTTATATTAATTGTAAGTTTTAATGGRTATTTAGACAATACTGCTGTAAGGAATTTTAATTTTCAAAATCCAGTAATACTGTGTAGAGAAGAGACTCCAGGTATATAAATGAAGCAGAATAGAAGACCAGCCATATAGGAATATGATTAACCTTATGGTGAATATTCAAAGAAGATACTAAAAAAAAAATACCATTTTATATTTCTAAAAGCTTAAGCCCACTACATCAGCCTCATTAATTTTCAATGAGTATTTATTTGAAGTTTAGGAGAGAAACCTGAATACCTGCCAAGCTAYCCAGGTCTTCTTAATACCTGCCTGCTCCAGCTATTACAAAACATTCACAATGTATTATCAAAAGTCCCTCTCCTATTAAAAAGAGGCAGCTTCTTAACCATGAATACAGGCCAAAACCACTGCATAAAATGTTTTAAAAGTACACTGTGGTTAGTTTYAACCCTTCCTTGACTCTCTTCCCCAATGGCAACTGATCATCAATCAATCTACTACATGAGAATGAGAATATTCCACTAAGCTCAGAGTGGATCTTGCTCCTAGGAAAATCAAAAGAAAGTTAAAGYGGACATCAAAACAACTTCCAAAAGAAGCTATAGCACTCAAACAATTGTACAATGAGGAAAGGTRTGTGGTTATACAAGACTGTAAGAAAATACTTCAGGGAAAATTAAGAGAAAACATTTCCAACTAAGGAAAATCTATGTTGCAATAAAATTGCTAAATCAAAGACAGTAATTACAAATAAAAATATAAATACCAAGTCAGATCTTCCTTATTCCTGAGAATGTACTTCAGATTATTAAGTCAAAATATCCTCTACATGTGTATGTTATTGGCCTTCTTTGTGGATTCCAAGGCAATAAGAGAAGAAAGCGCAGAATAAAGAATCTGGTCAACCCTTACAAGAAGCTGACTGAACTAAGTTCTGTGAGTCAAATAAAGCAGGAGAGTAAACCTTCCTTCCTTTCTGCATATTGGAAGAGGATAACTTTTCAATGGTTATACAGGATTTTAGAAAGTACATGAACATGATATGAAATTAAAAGTACCGGCATTGCTACAGTTTGTTTAGCCCACAAAAATAGTTCTAAAACACAAATTTTTTTTTCTGAGTTTCTACAATATATTTGGTAAGGTGTCAAACAAAATTAAACTACTTAATACATAATGCCTTTAAAGATACTTTATTTTAAGAATAGCTCACTGTGCATATCAGGATCAACTAAAAACTGTGTTATCAACTCAAACTGTGAGATTCAACTATAACATCATTAATATATTCATCGAGCAAAGTGTTCAGTAAATGATTACAAATACCAGAATAGGAATAGAAATGACCTTAATTTAAGAAGACATTTTTATATAATGTACATTTCCAGACTTCTGACAAGTTAGCATGACACTCAGAAGGGGGAAGGAAATAGCTTGGCACTAGTACCAACTTATCTCGGTTATTTTTACAAGATCTAACTTTGAAAACATCAGCTGTGCCAGATCTTTTCCATAAACCATACATCTGTCTGCACCAACTGAATTACAGACCACCAAGTTGTCTCATATACCACATCAAACAACGGGCTGGCTTAAGAGTTTGGAGTATGATTCAAAATACCAACTATGTATTCTTCTCCCAGAACACAGAAGTTTTAACCTACTTTTCAAAGTAATTTTAAAATTATTAAGACATTTATAAATAAACTGAAGAAAAGGTATTTAATACACTTGTTTCTACAGTKATTGTTTTGAAAGCCATAATTTTGTTTAACAAATAAATCTGCTCTGAACTGCACAATCTACATTGGATGTAGTGAAAACCATTTTTTTTAACTACAGCTCTCCTTAAGAAGTTTCACACTTTTAATAACAAATGCCACACTGTACCTGAAGAGTATCTATGGTACAAGCATCCCTCCATCATTGTGAAAGAAGTAAGGTACATCAAAAAATCTTAAGTGATAAGTGACGCACACTTTAAAATTAAGCATAAAGCATATGAAAATATACATTGTAAGATTCTTTATATTTTTTTAAAGAAAAAGCAAGCCAGTCAGTCCAGAGACAGATGTCAACAAACTACGTAGTTCCACAAGTGCTCAAGCCGGCTCAGAGCTTACTCGTTACTTAGAAAACGTTGAAAAATGTGCTTTAAAGTTCCAGTGGTCTGCTTTCTAGCCTCTGCTTTTCTTTAAAATAACCTGCAAAGAAAAAAAGTAAGTATATTTATCACTGCTTTTATCACCACAATTCAGGCAGCAGAAAGATTCAAAACACTAGGTGACTCAGACCAAAGGTTCACCTAGCCAATCTGTTTCCAAGGGTTGAGTTGCCAAGGGTAATACTGCAGGGAAAACATTAGAAATAAAGCAAAAGCATACAGAAAGATTTAATCTTTGAGGCTTTTTTCTTTAAATAAGAACATTCGTAAGCAAGAATTCTGTAAAATAAAAGGCTTCTTTCCAAAGTTAGTGCTGAGAAATGGCAATAGTGCTCTCGAGTCACCAGTAGATTCCTTGAAGTTCTTACCCTTTTGGGCTTAGACAAAAAGAAAAAATAAGGTTTGCAATAATACAGCTATTATGCTCAATTTTTGTTTGCAATGCCTTTTTTCTTTCTATATCACGAGTGCACAGACCTTTGGAAGGACATTTTTTGGTTTGGAGTTTAAATTGAAAAATGAACTTCAAAGCTCAAGTGGGACTGTTTAAGTGTTAAAATTTTTAAAATACAGGCAGTTTTTCCTTTATTCTCATCTTAAAGAAACAAATGGAGCACAAAAATGTTCAGTGTTAAAATTGCAGTTAAAAAGAACCTATAAATGCGTAAGACTCCAACTGCAACATTCACTTGGCTAYCCTACATATCCTGTATATGTTTCTGTTACTATAGAAATAGAAAATCTCAAACTAAACCTTTCAGCAGAAGGAAAAAAAATACTGAAGATAAACAGAAGCCACMGGACCAAAATATCAGGTAACACAAGTTCTGTCCTCCCAATCCACTCAGCAGGAGTAGGTGGTTAAACAGATAACAAATTAAAGAGACCAAATTCCTTCATGACACCAAGCTAAAGCAGACATATCCTAGGGAGCGAAATGAGAGACAGAATACAAAAGGATTTCAGTTATATTTTGACACTAGTTCTTTTCAGGGAGACAAAGCTGTATTAACACCTTCCTCTTTCCCTTCTTTCACATGTACACAAAACTCACCGTGGTCTGCAATGCAGTGAATTCCTCCTTCACATATATTCATACAGCAACTTTTGTTATGCTGAACTACCCATATAACAACAATCCACAATCTAATCCTCCCTTAGCTCTTTCCTTGCCAAATACATAACACAAAATATCTGTTTGTTCAAGAAGTATCCACACAATGCTGKAAGAATCCACTACAACCTAATTTCAGACTAAGCAGTTAAGAACTGAAGGTGTAAGAAAGGTATTTGAACCTTTCTGGATTATKTCTCACTTGCTCCATAAAGCCTGACTTATATCACTGACGTTAAGACAGCGTGCTTCCTTGACGTAGTATCAGCTGAAATAAGGATCCTCCAACTCTGAAGTGCCTTTCAGCCCATGAATGCTTGCAGGTAGACCAATCTGTAAACTTTTCCATACATTGAAATTATGACTTTAAACAGGGAATAATCAAGAAAAACTGGATTATATTTAATAGGACAAGGAGAGTTAATTTGTTGTCTTGGTAACAGTGAATTACATCAACAATGGACTGAAGAATATTAACTATCTATAGGTTTTGGATTATAAATCAAATATCAACTTTAACACAGAAAGCTTTTATATATGCTGTCATAACACATTTTACATTATATAAAAGAAAAATATTAAAGTTATTTAATACCTTTGCTGCAGATATGGTGTGCTCAGGTTTAATTATCTTATTTTTGCTCTCAAAAGCATTTGTCCTGGCTTCTTCTGCTAGCCGATGGAGAAACAGTAAGAAGTTCAAATGAATCTTTAAAATAGAGAAGAAAAAAACCATTACTCAAACTGTTTAAGCTGATTTTAGAGGATCATTGTTTGCAACAGAGAATTTGCATATTAGACTGCTTCCAAATTCCTGAAAGGTGGTCTCAGATAATAAATGTATCACTCGGTTCTGTCTCAGTAAATTTCTAATACATTCCCTTCCTGCAATACTCTTGTAAATAGTTTAAATTTAGTATACTTAAATTGGAAAGGTGCTTTAGAAATGATCACATAAACAACAACTGATCTAACAGGAATCAATTTGAGTTTTATTAACAGTTTTTACAAATAAAATGTGAACATTAATATCAACAAATAAGCCATCTTCTTGCTTACTAGTAAATATAGTCAGTTTTTAGTGACAACGACAGCCAGACTTTTATGAACAGCAAATTCATCCCTGCCTTATTGCCAAATGGACTGCAGACAAGTTCAAGGACTCCTGCCCCTTTGCAGTGTAAAGGGACACTGACATTAATTTCTCCAGAACATGAAATTCTCCAGTGTCAGGAGGTTCCATCCTTTTTTTCCCAGCTCATCACTTAGCCTTTTTACATTAAAAGCACCAGTCAGGTGGAATACTATTCGGCTAATACAGAAGCAGGAAAAAGTTTTGGCACGCAAGGAAGGAACTGCTCCATCTTGGACTAAAACTGCCAGCCAATAGCACCTGTGTGCAATCAGGGACCTACAATGCAAACCTCTAGCATTGTACAGATATTACGTGAACTATTTTTAACAGTCTGACCTGAAAAATTGTTAACTGCACATTTTGTAAATTAAGCATTCAATATTACTGAAATATTTGAAAATTTTATTTATATGCATAAGGTGGTGTATTTATTCTGCCATAYCTTATCTGTAAAGCCTGGAAAAATATAACATGGAAACTTACAAATTAAGAGTTTACAGGAAATACTTTGGCAGTGGGTTTGCAGCACAAAGMATCTGTTACAGGACATGCTCAGAAAGTAATTCAGGTGGTTTTTTTAAATATCCTGAACTAAATGAAGCCMGAGTGCAACAGATAAATTTACATAATATTTGACATTGTTTGGAAGCATCTACTGCACAAAAAGCAGATGTTCTTGCAGATTTATTTCACAAAACATAAAAGCAACTTTAGAACTAGCCTTTAGGTATCTACATAGAAATTATCTCCAACAGAATCAAGCAGTGGCACTAAAATAATGTTCAATATAAGAACTCTCATTATTAAACTTATCAGTATGGAGGTTACATTCCTCTAGGAATCCAACAGGAAAAGTGTGAGGTGGAACAAAAGCTTTCATACTTACATGTCCTTTTTCTGAGATACCTAAAGGCAAAAGTGTTAATTTTTAAATTGCCTTTAAAAGCTGCGTCGTCTCTCAGAATCACTGTACCTCTACTTTCCTATTTTGAAAGTGAATTGCATGTGGAGACGCTTCCCCTGTACTCCAACAAATTTAAATACAGCCACATAACTAAAATCGGAACAGTCCACAACAGAGCACAAAGGTTAATAAATAATCCAGGTTAGTCAGGCAATTGAGAAAGGATAATGAAAGGCAGAATGACTGAATACCATGAATAGGACTGACAGTTATTGACAGGCAGCTACGCAATACTATACATGTTTAAAGATATTGCTTTAACACATATTAATGTCCTTGTGCATAAAATTTAAAACCAGTTTTGAACCAACWACTCATGAAAATCACCTTACAAACATAATTTTCGCTTTCCAGAAAAGAAAGGCTGTAAAGTTTTAAGAACTCATGTAAGTGTTTGCACTGTTTGCACAGCACTTGCACACACCTGTTTAACAGAGCTCATGAATAGCAGGGACAGCCTCTGCAATTTTCTTCTGCTGCCATAACTTCAAAACAATTCTTTAGACTGACATTTTGCCTTCAACAGACACTTATTAATGATTCTGTGGTGACAACAAATTAAAAAGAGGCCATTCAATGCAATACTTTAAGCTTTTCCTGCAATGGAAAAACACATGCCCCTCTAGCATAAAACARGCAGCTGACATCCTGCTTTTATTCTGTAATCTTGAGCTAGAACAAAGCTTGTATATTATCTTCTCTGACCATTGGGGGAATATCTGAACTTCAGTACTAAAACCATTACCTCTTATTTTCAAAAAGAGCCTTGAAAAAACCTGAAACATCATTTGCATTACTTGCATCTCTTCACCCGAAGATATTATCGTATTCCTTCAAAAAAAGCCAAACCAAAACCAAACAGCTTCCTTAGAAAGGCTGATGATAGCTACATTGTGCAAAGAGATAGATGTTAACACTTAGGAAACAAAGCTGACAGAGCCTCAGATTTTGAAGATGAAATTATCTGAATTATTATGTCTTTCAAACTTGTTGTTTACGATCATGTAGGAAGACACTGGTTTATTGAGGAAAAATAATCACTGAAGGTCAGTAAAAAAGAAAGCAATCTGATTTTCTCGTAAGGTAGGCAGGCAGACCACTTTACTGGACAGGGTACATACGGCAGATTCAGAAATAAAGCATGGATCCTTCTGAAGGATAGCCCAGAAACTGAACTAGGACGCTTCTCATACTTCCTGGAGAAGACATAAGCTCCCTGCTTAAAATGTATATGGCTCCATTTTGTTAAGACAGCTACTATATAAATTTCTGACATGCAATCTAATCACTCTTACAGGGTTTGCAGAGAATACGAGACACTAGAAAACATACTCTCAAAATTTGTTACTTATCTTACTACAAATTCCCCCACCCTTTTTTTTTCCTACAAGAGGCATAAATTCAGCTGTGTTGATTTAGCTATAGAAATAAAGAGGAAAAGAGCTGTTAGAAATGTGCTTAGTTGAAGAACMTCGTGGACAACCACCACACCTAGATATTCTTGTTTAAAAGTAAAAGAATAAAACCCAAGCCTTGTAACATAAAAGGCTGTTTAATTTGACATCACCAGAAGAGATAATCTACGTTTCTATCACATTRTTAAAATTTATTCTGATCTCATCCTTTGTGTTGCCATGAACATTTGCACAGCCATATTTTAAGCTATATCAGATTGTTGTTGTTTGTAAATTTCAGTCAATTCAATTCGCTGTCCTTGCAGCTAAGAGAACTTTAGTGCCAGGACCAGGAAGAGATGGGAACCAAAGGCCAAGATTTGGAGGGATATCCCACTTACCCCTTTTCAGAYAGCCATACTACTTTGAAGCCAAATTTTCATTGCCCTGGAAACACAGATCAACTGTTACCAATGATTAAAAAAAAAAAATGTGTGATTGTGTGAGTTTGATTAGCTGACTACTACATTCCACTGAGTAAGYCTGATCACGACTAGCAAGGGGCCAGGTCCTTAGTCTATTAAAAAAATCCAAAGGTACCAAAAACAGGAAGAAATCATATTTTTATTAGCTCCATTAGAAAAACATTTGATGTTTAAATTCAGATCTAACTACTCTCAYGTAATTACCATATTTATTCATTTTAATCTCATATTACTTATTTTAATTTTGTATGTTAACATTATCTTCATATATCCAGATACCAACTTTCAGGATGCTGCAAGACACAACTTTTATAGATATTTGAAACGTGGACTTAAAATTCGAGTCAGGGACTTGAATTACAAGCACACAGCATGTATTAATGCTTTAATGCTCTGAGAACCATATACATTTGTAAATAGGAGGGCATCACAGTCGAGCAAGGTAAGTGTATTAAGGTGCTTCAAAGAATATCGGGTTTTTTCGGGCACTTTTTTTTTCAATACAGCAGCTACCACAAGCTCTCTTGAGGTCAGGTTTCCTTGCTGTASTCAAACAATTTCTTGGTGAGACAARCCCTATCTCTGTGCCACAAATCCCTTAGAGCAGAAGCAATTCAGCTTCGTCGGCCTCAGTTTTTGCAAACTTGGCTCTTTTACTCCTACACCTCTTTGGCAAGCGTTTCTAAACCACGATCAGGACTCCAGMACCTGATTAGATTACCAACAAGACTTGTCATCCCACAGTTTAGGACAGAGACTACTCAGATGGCCTCCTAAAAAGATAATGAGCGTTCAAGATGCCATAGMAGCTTAGCAACCCATTGATCACAGCTCAGCTGACTACCTGTACACCCGAACAGATCTACRCAAACAACAAATATCTGCATCTAGCAGCCACATAATCCAAACTGCTATTTCTCGGTGTGTCTACACTAAACTCTTTGAACATCAGCGTGTACATGAAGTGACACAAGAGCATCAGCCCGAGATCACTGTCAAAGACCGACAATATAGTAGCCACCAGCACAGCAAAGCGCTACAATCTCAGTTTATCTGTATTTTCTTAGACAGACCAATCGCCTGTGTCCTCCCAAGCTTTGCGTCCCCTCTACCTGTGGGCCCCTGGAGAAGCACCGCGGGGAGTAACCTGACATACCCACACCCAAACTGCTCCACTGCGCACAGCCCGGCACTTTTAGGAACCAAGGGGCCCTGTTAAAGGACAGCTGATCCCGAGCCACCAGCACAGCTGCAGCTGCCGCCATGGCCAAAACCAGGAGCGCTCCCGGACTCCCCGCAGCCGCAGCCTCGCCTCTCCCCCGCCCCTCTCCTTCCTCACCACCAGGTCGGAGTTCGCCGCCAAGCGTAAATGCGGCTTGTGCTTCTTCATTATTTTCCGCAAAGTGCCGCGGGGCACCGTGCGCTTCATCCTCCTCTGGTTTTTCWGATTTTTCTTCTTTTTCTGGTTTTTCTTCCTCTCCTTCCTCCTCCTCCTCCGCGCGCCGCCCTCTCCCTCGGCCGTTTGAATCCGCCGCCCTCGCGCAGGCGCGCGCACGCCGTGACGCAACTTCCCAACGGCCGCGCGCGGCCCCGCCCCTCCAGGCCCCGCCCCGCCCCTCACACCGCTCGGAGCCGCCGGGCCCGGTGCTGCGGCGCTTCCCCGCCATCGGCGGCGGGGAGCTCCCGGTGCTCGCCCCGAGCCGCCGAGAGGCTGCGGGGAAAGCGTCCCGCCGGCCCCGCCGAGCTCGGCCYCGCCGCCGGGGTGGCTCACGAGGGGGAAAGGCGCTCCCCGAGCAGGTGCTCGAGGGACGGGCGGGTCCCGGTGGGCGCCGCCGCGGCCGTTCCCCTAGGAGCCCCTCCGTGTCAGCCCGCTGCCCTTGCGAGCGAACCGAGAGCTGGCTTCAGGCGTGACCCAGCTAGTGACCCAGACCTCCACCCAGGCCTTTTTAATTAACAGAACGAAAACCGGAGCGGGCAGTTTGCCGGCTGCCGGTCCCGAGCGAGCCCTCGAGCGTGGCCGCGGCCCCGTGCGGGTGTTTCCCGAAACGCGGGGACGTGGCACGGGTCAGCACCAGCGCTGCCCGAGCAAGCCTCGGGCTGTGGATTTTAGCTTGGCGATCGTCGCCCAAGTGTGATGGCGTTTCCTCGCTGCAGAAGCCGAGGGAGTGCACAGCGTGCTTGTGTCCCCATTGTGTGACCGGACCCGGAGCTTAATTAGCACCATCATCTTACACTGAAATGAGCCTAGATCGATAGTTGTGTCCTGCACGTAAACCTGGACAAAAACCTGCTTTAGTGCTTGTATGGCAATGACTTTATTGCACACAGAAACACACAGTGGTTCCGAAATCGGCCGCCACTGTAACGTGTCATCCTTCCTCCCGCATCTGTTCCCTGCACTTCTGCTTTAGCGGACGGATGCTGCTGACTGAAATACAGGTTTCCCCACAGAGGGGCCCCTGTAGCTTGGCATTCTCAGTGTATTTGGACTGTGTGTACTTAGTTGGAGAAGGGGTCAGGATTTCATACTGAGGTATGGGGTTTTTCAGCATATTTACTAGTTTTTTGTTTTCTTTGGCCTGTGGGATACTTGCAAATTTAAACATGCATAAGATAAATACATTGTCTTAATGTGTTCGAAAATACCAGCACCCAGATACGAATCAGTTTTATTGAAGTATGTATTTAAGTCTGTATGATTTAGTATTTTAGTTAATTTTACAATATGCACAAAATGTAGTCCAGATAGAAGTATGGTGTCTGACAGCAGGAGAGAATTTAAGATTTGCCAGCTCTTCATACTCTGTCAGTATTTGAAAATGATGCTTTGTTCTTTCAGTTTTGACTGTCACTTGCCATTAATCGTCAACAGCGATGTTGATCTTAAAATCAGGTTCTTAGAATTTTTTTTCTGTCAAAGAATAAGCACACAAACATGTCGAACTTTTTTGTACAGTTTAATAATAATCACARTTAATGGCTCAGCAGCACAGCTACAAGTAAACATTTGGGGTTTTTCGGTTAACTAAACGGCTCTAACTCAGGAGCTATACAGTCATATACTGTAACGCTCATAATACACACRCAGAAACTTGCTTTGGGATCAGCAATAACTCAGCATGTCAACAGATTCAAATCTACAGCTGGGATAGATCAGTAGTTCCACTGGACCTTACTGGAGCCGAGAACTGGGCCTTAGTATCTCGCACTGTTGGTGAGAAACTGGTGTAGGCAAGCATTTTACAAACTGTAAGAATTGCAAAGGTGCCTCTACTGTAGGTCTGAAACTATTAAAATACACCACACAAATTTGAAACTGCAGTGACCTGCTTAAAATGACAGATACTGAGACTCAAGACTAGTAACTGTATCTTTTAATCATGTGCTTGCTATGTAGGCAATGACAGAATAATGAAATATATTAAGTGTAATACTATGAAAGTTTTTTGATTCTGATGGTTTTATATTTCTAGTGGACTAGGGTTTTTTTGATTTAGCCACAGAAAATAGTAATATAAATCAACTTATTTACCAGATCTCTTTTTTAATTACATTTTGAAAAATTTATGACAGTAGTTACTTTAAGAAATTGATAACAGAGGTCAAATGTAGAAATAATAAAATACAAAATCTGATTTACTGAACAAACACGAAATTCAGTATTTCAGATTTCTCCTTGAATTTCTATTTTAGGCTGTTTATCAATAAATATTTCTGTAAATATGATTTTAATAGTTTAATTTGAATACACAAATATTGTAGAAAAAGAAATTGTACTGCTGTACATTATGCATTGCAATGGACAAAAATCATAAGTTAACTAAATATTTTTTTTAAAAAATCACAACTGTTTCAATTATTTGGTCTGTATTAACACAAAGATTAATTATGACATTACAGTGATTACAGTGAATCATAGAAAACTGCAGTCTCTCTCTTATATTTCTGATTTTGAAAAGGGCTGTTTTCTGTCTTTCTGATAGAATCCATAATGTTCAGTTATAATGATTTTATGAAATACCATAAAGAATATTGAAAATATATATTTTAAATTAATTCTTTGGAAGTTGAAATTGCTAATTTTTTCATGCTTGTGCAGCTTTATAAAAAATGCAGTTCTCTACCTTATAGGAAGATTTTCATAGTTTACTTGTTCAAAAGCTGCAGGAGTTTTGAATACATTTTCTACAAGAAATTACTTTGTTTTCCAGTTGTGTTTCAAGAATTACATATTTTTCCACTTTTTAGCAATTGCTGTTTTTAAATGCACATTAATTCATTTTGTGAACTTCAGCTGCAGCATAACATCTTCCCATTTTTCCATCAATACTGAACTGTGTTTTAGAAATAAAGGCATCAGCTGGGACTGATGATTAGAGCAAGGAATATTCAGCAATTAAAATAGTACCATCTAGGTCTGACTTCTTCAGGAAAACAGTCTTTTCAGGTTTGGTTGGTTGTTTGGGTTTTTTTTTGTTTTAGTACAGGAAATTTCAGTGACATTATTTTGTCACTTTTGCTTCCAGATTTTGTGGGTTTCTTGAAAACAGTTCCATACATTTCAGTGGCTAAAAAGAGGCCAAGTTTGGGGCCATCACTGCTGAACCACAAACCAGTAAATATTTAGTTCTCTGTTTCTATAAGGAAAGATATTAATTTAAAGACTAATTTTATCCACTCCTCTAGTGCACTGTAAGTTGATATAAGGCTAATATTTGGAAATGAAATTAAAAAGCCATGTTTCCTTTGTGTCCTGAAACTTTTATAAGCACACCCTAACTTGTTACGTTTGCTCTCCCAGCCTGTACTTCATTACTATTAGTTTAATAATTTTGATTCTGGATTTTGACATTATCTTCAGTCAAACTCTTAATCAGTTCTTCATCAAATTGTAAAGYCGATCTTTCCCTCCAAAAAATGCTGAAGAATTCCACTTAAAGCATGTGATATTTTGAAATTAATAATCACATTTTATAGATTCTTGCTAAGCCAGAGGATCCTCAGTTTCACTGTTAAATACTTTCTGGTGCTAATCCAGTTTCAGTGGTTGGTGAAAGACTTTGAAACTTACCCTGGATATGGATGTCAAAGCCTAAAATCTTTTGATGTTTTCTTCAGTGATGAAAAGATATCTCTAAAACAGAACACAACAATTCAGCAAATGTAAACTCTTCTATAATGTAGTTGATAGGCTTGATCATAGTGATTGGAATACAAGACTCTTCTGTTAAATCTTTATATTCTTTCTCTTGGGTAATTCAGGTGTGGTTGAATACTTTTGTAGAGAAACAGGAAAAGAGATAATACAAAGGAGAAAATTGGATGTTTTCCTCTCCTCTGTGGAACTTAAGCAAATCTCTTGTTTGAAAAAGAAGGGGGAAATGGCAATTTTAACAAGAAACTTTTGCCTTGTGGCTGTCACTATTAACATAATGACAATCATTTAATTGCAGTAATAAATACTTGTCAAATATGTGTTTGGCATTCACCTTATATTTTTTATGAAGAGAGTATTCTCTAGAATAAATTATTTTCATTACTTTTAGTTTTTTATGTGCCTCTATTTTTATCGGTGTTTCAGGCCCAGAACACTTAAAAAACAAGAAAGGCAAAACATCATAAATTATATTTGAAATTCCAACTGCTGATTTTAAGGTTTACAGTTAAGCTTCAGTTTCGTTTTTCAGGACATTCTGTGTATCAGCTCTCTGTATATCAGGCTCTAAGAATCTCTCTAAAGTCAGTTGACTTCCACAGGCCAGACACCATCTGTGTGTTGTGACTGCTTTGATTGCATTCATAAAACGAATGTCATTCATGCTGAAGCGTATAAATCACAGCTCAGCAGTGGCTTTTACCTTCAGAGATATTCCTTGTGCACTTGACATGCCATCAGCTAAAAGTGTATCAGTTTCACTGCTTTTGAAGTATATTGATGTAGCATCTCATTGAAATATATGTCCATTACTTTATTAAATTATGTAAGAGGAAGATGTTTATTTTAGATCTTTTTGATTAAATTCATAAATATTAATAAATAACACAAAAAAATTACTTCATTTATCCACTTCTGTGTTCATGTAACTTTTCTCTTTTTTTTTTTTTTTTAGATTCGTACTTTATTTGTATTTTGCTCATGGATCTAATACACACATTTAATACCAGTCATATTTCCTACCCCAGATTCCAGAAGGAGTTCTGAATTCTCTTTCAGATGTCATGCTTTCAACAATTACATACAAACCAGAATGATCTTCCAGCACCTCTACTCTGATCTGCTAAACCAGATATGCCAAAAAGAACCCCTTCTTTCAGAAACTTTTGCAAACCTAGACAATATTCTGAAAAATATCTGTTGTCTGCCTTAAAAAATTATACTTTATGCAAATGTGTAAGAAACAGAGAAGAAAGGAAAGCAAAAAATTTAATAATATTCCCCAGGATATTACTTTACTAAAAATTGGTCTAATTAACATAACATGTAATAGTAA